TATGCAATGTATGTATGCAATGTATGTATGTATGTATGTATGTATGTATGCAATGTATGTATGTATGTATGTATGTATGTATGTATATATGTATGTATGTATGCAATGTATGTATGCAATGTATGTATGTAATGTATGTGTGCAAGGTATTTATGTCTGTATGTATGTATGTATGTATGTATGTATGTATGTATGTATGTATGTATGTATGTATGTATGTACGCGTGGTGTGTGTACGTACGTACGCATGCATGGATGTATGCATATTATATATATATACATGCATAAGCACATACATGTCATGTCTTATACAGGGACCACCTCGGCTTACGACGCGGGGCTTATGAGCGCACTGAGATTGTGGATGCCGTTGTCCTCCTGATACCAGAAACGGAAGAAGACGTTTCGGGTGTAGGGCGATGGGCCATACTACCACACCATGGCCGAACCAGGATTTGGATCACTTAATCTGAGAGACTCCGATATCCCAGAAAATCGTGCAAGATGCCTCATGAAAGTAAAGTTTCAGGAATGTTGCTGACGAAAGGCTTTTCGAGTCTTTGGCGACTGGACTACAGCTTTGCAAGCCCTGACTTTTGGAGATCCCCGGAAGCTCTTTACAGGTTTAGGGTTTAGGGTTAGGGTTCCGGGAGTAGTACCCTAAACCCTAAACCCTAAACCCTAGTAGTGGCTTGGTCCTCAGGTTTCAAGTAGGATTATACGATGCCCTGCTGAAGAGTTTCATTACCTAGCCCCCCAAATTTGTCAGCCACAAGCATCTGAAAGCCTGGTAGAACCGTCTTATATCCTCCCTAAACCATAAATCCTGGCAGAAGCCTATAATTTCCTGACGGTAATCTGTCTGCTGCCCTGTCCCAATCCCATGATCCTTGAACCCTGCACTCCAAACCCCACCTGCACCCCAAACAACAGATTTTTAAGGACTTACAGGAACCCATAATGAGAAGGTAGGGTATTATGTGGGGCTAGGGTAAACTTCAAGTAGGGTTTTCAATCAAGAAGACGAGGCCTTTGTGCAACGCAACCCTCAAAATACTAATGCCACCTAGACCCTGAATTTTGCAGTCAGGAGTTTGAAGCAAGCTATGATCAGTTACATATAATGGTTGGGTTATAGTCACAACATGATCGGAGAATCCGAGAACCAAAGCGAATGCTTAACCCTTAGCCCGAAACCTTAATCCCCCTTGCCTGTTCTGGGCTATGGCACCTAAGTAGATACGAGTATCGGGAATAAGATAAAATATCCTAAGCTGGTCTTGTTTTTGTTGGGCTGGGTGGTGCCAATAGCCGAAAATAGGCAAGGTATCCTCCAACTTACTCCACAATCCCATTCTAATTAAGGCGTCGTGGCTGCTCATACCGTACCGTTACAGGAACTGCCATAGAGCACCGCAGAGCTCAACAGCAATCTTGTAATCCCCCCCGCCCATGTTGTGGCACGGGCCAGGCCGACTACTATTTCGACTACAAGGGCTGGACGGAAACGCGAAACACAGGGACTTCTGGAAAGAAGAAAGGTGCCGGACGAGGTGCCCCCAAGGTGAAGACCACGGGCGATGGCGGCATGAAGCGCCGGCGTTAATGCCGAGAACTTACATCCTCAGTCAAGACTTAGTAGAGTTTGACTCACTGAAGCTGGGTAAAAGCCTCCCAGAGTCTGGGTTTGTATAAGGGTCTCCACAAGTGTTCAATATGGGGGCCTTTCATAATTGGAATAGGAATTCGGTAGATTCTAGTCGTGGTATCTAGCGACACATAAGAAGGGGGAAGCGGCCACTGATGATTCAGACCTCTACCCTTAAGCCTTAAACCTTAGCTCTCCGATCCCAGCCGCTCTCATCTAGCCAAGCCGAAGATTCCGAGCACCTTCTCAATTTCCAAAACCTCAAACCCCAAACCCTAAGGCCTAAACCCTAAACCCGAAACTGCCGAGAGCGCCGCTGACCATTTGCATGGGCGCTCGAGGCGCCGACCGAGGCCCCCGGCCGAGCGTCCAGGACGGGGAGAGAGCGCAAAGCCTCCCGGTATACCGGGACGGAAATGATTCAGCTACACCTCACGCAATACGGGCGTCAGCCTGTTATAATGAAGACCCCAGCCCACGAAATTGGGTGATTTGTGTCTCTGGCTGGAAGCGTCTGGGGCTGAACATGTTTCGGCGCCTTTCTTGTCTGACCTGTAATTTGAGGGGCACCCAGAGAACCCAATACCCCTTAATAAGGAAGACACCTTGAAAGCACAATATTGAGGCCCCCTATAATTTAAGGTAAATTCCTTAATTAAGGGGTATTGGATTCTCCGGGTAGTGCGCGGCCGGCACAGGCGGCCGCGAGGACCCACAACCCGACACCGATCCATCTCAGGTGTGGATTGCTGTGAAACGTGGTCGTTTGTTTGTGGAACTGTGAATGGAAGCAGAAAGCAAGAGGGGCTTGGGGGGTGAACCCCCTAATTGTTTTTTTTTGTGGTGGGACTACATGCTGACGCAATAAGTGGGTGCGCCCTAAAACGTGCACCCACTGCGCACACACTGTTAAGCCCTAAACCCTAAACTGGAAGTTTAGGGTTCCGTGGTGTGGGCTTAAGCTTTAGGGTTTAGGGTTTAGGCCTAGGATTTAGGGTTTAGGTGTTGGGCTTTAGGGCTTCGAGTATAAAATTCTGGAGCCCCAAACCTCACCACAAACCCTAGAGCCTAACCCGAGACCCTACTGTACAGCCTTTTCAAACCCAAAGTCCCAAACCTTACACCCTAAGTCCTAAATCTCTATGTCCTAAACCCTCAACCCTAAACCTTAGGCCCTAAACCCTACAGCCTAAACCTTAAACCTTAGGCCCTAAACCCTACACCCTAAACCCTAAACCTTAGGCCCTAAACCCTAAACCCTAAACCCTAAGGCCCTAAACCCTAAAACTAAACCCCAAACCTTAGACCCTAAACCCTAAAACCCTAAACCATCAAGCTTCAGCCGCCTCGCCCCTCTCGGGGTCGGAGAGTGCAGAGTGGCGAGGGCAGGGAAACATGGCCCTACTTGGAGGCCCAGGGGACTTAGTAATTCGGTTATAAGTAGGATTAAAATTAGAGTGACTCCATTTAGGGTACTTATAACTC